AAGACCAAAGAACATTTATTTAACAATCCCAAACCATAAGGTTCCGAAACAGATGTTGGTGAATTTGACGGATGCACGAATAACTTATCAATGATTTACAGTCAGGAAAGTAGTCTTTAATAATTTGACCTTAGGTCATCACCATGGAGTTGCCAATCACAGACCTGGAACTCGATCTCACACCTAACTTTAATACAAGTAATCTCAATTGGTTTCTCACCCAAAGGAATTTAAGAAGGAAAAAAATAATTTACCAACAAACTTTTAAGCATTTTAGGTTTCAAGAAATCGTTAAATGAAATATCCTGATAAGATTTTGAAGTGAAGCTGATTATTGCATCATTGCTTACCAAAAGTACATGTCTGTGTGTTTAAACTAGAGATAGCCAGCTTCACTTCAAAAAGCTTTTCTAGCCATAGGTAAGATGATCAGAAACATGCCTGCCACAACAGCTGCAAAACCATGACATTCAAGAAAACTAAGCTTAAAAGTTTGCAGAATTATCAAAACTTTGTTGTAGAATTTATAAAAATTGACTGCAGAATTTTGAATTACAGTGGGGCAGTTCCCAAATACAAGCAATCTGCACTTCTGATTGGTCAACTTGTGTCCAACTGTGCAAGAACCCTACTTTCTGTGATTAAAAAATTGTGACATATTTTATAACACTTAAATGGAATGTTCAATACTTTTCATAGATGTTTTTTAACAACTATTAAGAGACCACATCTATTGTTAAAGAACTCATAAATATTTTTGTTGTAATGAAGAATACATAGATGCTATATTCATGCATGTGACAAGTGTTTGATACACCCCATACAGAAATAACTCACACTTCTCCAATTATTACATTATCGTAATAAAAACAATAACTTTTTTAAAAATATATAACGAGATACTTTCATAAAAAAACACAAATTACTCAGAACAACTGAACAAAAATAACAAAAAACACAAACAAAACATAAAAAACGACAAAAAAAAGGTCAGACTTTACAAAACGGTAACCCAGACGACAAAACTTTGCATTTAGAGTGTGGGATGTTAAAGTATTTGTATTTCACCAGACTGACAGGCAGTGAAAGTCGAACAGCCATCAGTATAAAGCTGTTTTCAATTGCCGATGGACCAAGAGAGTTTTCTCTGGTTCAACATAGTCTTTTAGCCTGTTCAGGGTATACACCTGACCCACAACCCTCCATTCACTTCAGTGGATACAGACTGCTTGACTGCCGCAGTAATTAATGTTGACTCGCAATTTGAATACTGAAGAGTAACTGGAGTAGCATTTACTGTTGAGGGGGAATCCTGTGGTTTTAATGGCTGAATCCCATCTTTTCATGTGAACGTTGGGGTTGGACAATGCATCTCAAGGGTTGCAATCAAACACTGCTCGTACTGCCACTGAATGAATCATACAGCTCCCACGATTAGCTTTTTGTGTTAACACAAGCTCACAATGAACTCAAGTGTTGGACTTCTTTACAAATCCCTGCTCCTCACAATAGCTAACAAAGAAAAAACAGACTGTGCCTATGTTAAAGATTTCAATACACCAGTAGGTGGTCAATATTGTCTGATTTACCAGTCAAATTGAGGTGGCCATTACGCCCGGTACTTGACAGGCGATGCTATCATTAGCCAGTTTCCGTCACATCTCGTTGCTCTTCGCCTCGCACTTTCACATTTTTCTTCAAGAACTTGCATTTAATTTTTTTTATAAATTTACTGCAGTAAATCATCAATGAATCACTCTAAACCGGGGCTTTTAATGTATAAACTTTATTAAGAGCCAGTTGAAGGGCCGGATGAGTGTGGCATGTTCGCACCTCGTGAAGCCCCCTGTTAACTGATCTGGGAAGTTCTCCATCAACAACTCTATTGACAAAACCACAACAGCTTTTCATGAGCACAGACTTCCAGCTTAATATCTGTATTATTGCATAGACTTTTGAAACATGACAGTATTTTCAAATTAGCTGGTCTGCCAACAAAGGAAGTTACTGACAAGAATTCTGATGTGAATGATTCTCACAATTATGTGTAAATTCCGGCATTGTCATAAACAACCTTCATATCCAACTGCAGGCTTGACTCACACTTAAGGGCCAGATAGACTGATTAAAGTCTCTATGAGATTTTGTAGCAAACAAGGTTAATGTCTAAAATTATGTTATCATATTCAAACACCTTACAACCAGATAGATCTTGTTTTCCACTCAGCCCTGACTTAGTTTCTTGTTTAACCATTTAATATGAATATATTGTTTTAATGAATTTATTGTTTAAATGTACGACGGCAATAAGCAAAGTGACTTCAATTGATTGACCATAAATAGTGTTAGTAGAAAGTCTCTTTCAGTCATCACTATACAGGACCAACCACAACTCACTCACTTCATAATCAGAGATTGCTTTTGAAAAAGCACCAAGATCATAAAGTGTCTTTATGAGACATCAGGACTTTCAATAAAGAGTCCCTAAACTTGAATATATATGCTGCTTTGAACGGCAACGTAGATATGGGCATATTTACAACATGAGTAAAATAAGCAGTGTACATAAATCTGATCGAGTCAGAGCAAAGCCTACCAGACGTAATCCCTCTATTGCCAGTACTTAATCTGCTTTCCTACATTAGATTATCTGTAACAATATCGTACAGTGAGGCCGGAGGTCGACCTCTTTCTGTGCCACAAGAGAATGAATGTGTGACTGGGGTTACTGTATAGGAATGTGCGACAGGTTTACTGTATAGGAATGTGTGACTGGGGCTACTATATAGGAATGTGCGACAGGGTTACTGTATAGGAATGTGTGACTGGGGCTACTGTACAGGAATGTGCGACAGGGTTACTGTATAGGAATGTGCGACTGGGGCTACTGTATAGGAATGTGCGACTGGGGCTACTGTATAGGAATGTGTGACAGGGTTACTGTATAGGAATGTGCGACTGGGGCTACTGTATAGGAATGTGTGGGGCTACTGTATAGGAATGTGTGACAGGGTTACTGTATAGGAATGTGTGACTGGGGCTACTGTATAGGAATGTGCAACAGGGTTACTGTATAGGAATGTGCGACAGGGTTACTGTATAGGAATGTGTGACTGGGGCTACTGTATAGGAATGTGTGACAGGGTTACTGTATAGGAATGTGTGACCGGGGCTACTGTATAGGAATGTGTGACAGGGTTACTGTATAGGAATGTGTGACTGGGGCTACTGTATAGGGATGTGCGACAGGGTTACTGTATAGGAATGTGTGACTGGGTTACTGTATAGGAATGTGTGACTGGGGCAACTGTATAGGAATGTGTGCCAGTGTTACTGTATAGGAATGTATGACTGGTGTTACTGTATAGGAATGTATGAAAATGTGTGACAGGGTTACTGTATAGGAATGTGTGACTGGGACTACTGTATAGGAATGTGCAACAGTGTTACTGTATAGGAATGTGTGACTGGGGCTACTGTATAGGAATGTGCGACAGGGTTACTGTTTAGGAATGTATGACAGGTGCTACTGTATAGGAATGTATGACATGGTTACTGTATAGGAATGTATGAGAATGTGTGACATGGTTACTGTATAGGAATGTATGAGAATGTGTGACAGGGTTACTGTATAGGAATGTGTGACAGGGTTACTATATAGGAATGTATGACATGGTTACTGTATAGGAATGTATGACAGGTGTTACTGTATAGGAATGTATGACATGGTTACTGTATAGGAATGTATGAAAATGTGTGACAGGGTTACTGTATCGGAATGTGTGACTGGGGCTACTGTATAGGAATGTGCGACAGGGTTACTGTATAGGAATGTATGACAGGTGCTACTGTATAGGAATGTGTGACTGGGGCTACTGTATAGGAATGTGTGACTGGGGCAACTGTATAGGAATGTGCGACAGGGTTACTGTATAGGAATGTATGACAGGTGCTACTGTATAGGAATGTATGACATGGTTACTGTATAGGAATGTATGAGAATGTGTGACATGGTTACTGTATAGGAATGTATGACAGGTGTTACTGTATAGGAATGTATGACAGGGTTACTGTATAGGAATGTATGAGAATGTGTGACATGGTTACTGTATAGGAATGTATGACAGGGTTACTGTATAGGAATGTATGACAGGGTTACTGTATAGGAATGTATGAGAATGTGTGACATGGTTACTGTATAGGAATGTGCGACAGTTACTGTATAGGAATGTGTGACAGGGTTACTGTATAGGATTGTATGACAGGGTTACTGTATAGGAATGTATGAGAATGTGTGACAGGGTTACTGTATAGGAATGTATGACAGGGTTACTGTATAGGTATGTGCGACAGGGTTACTGTATAGGAATGTGCGACAGGGTTACTGTATAGGAATGTGTGACAGGGTTACTGTATAGGAACGTGTGACAGGGTTACTGTATAGGAATGTGCGACAGGGTTACTGTATAGGAATGTGCAACAGGGTTACTGTTTAGGAATGTGTGACAGGGTTACTGTATAGGTATGTGCGACAGGGTTACTGTTTAGGAATGTGTGACTGGGGCAACTGTATAGGAATGTGCGACAGGGTTACTGTATAGGAATGTGTGACAGGGTTACTGTATAGGAATGTATGACTGGTGTTAGTGTATAGGAATGTATGACAGGTTACTGTATAGGAATGTGTGACAAGGTGTTACTGTATAGGAATGTATGACAGGTTACTGTATAGGAATGTCTGACAAGGTGTTACTGCATAGGAATATATAACAGGGGTTACTGTATAGGAATGTATGACAGGTTACTTTATAGGAATGTAAAACAGGGTTATTTTATAGGAATGTATGACAGGGGTTCCTGTATATTCCACAGGTATACTGCTAATAATCCACCCTCTAGTCGCTCTCCATGTTACAAATTAAACTATTGTCATGCATTGCCCATTCCCACAGTGTCTACCACTATTTTCCTCTCCACCCACACCTACAAGTGACACCCACCTTGTCCAGCTCGGCCCTCTCCCGGATCAGCTTCTGTTCCAGTTCCTGTTCCTGCCGATGCCGCTCGGCAATCTCCTGCTTCAACTTGATAGAGTTGATTCTCTTGGCATCCCTCAGATCATTCTGAATACGTCGCACTGACTGCTCCTGTTTCTGCCGAGCGTACTCAGCATTCCGAACCTTCTGGTATAAGTTCTGCTCTGCATCCTCTCCCTTCACAACCATTTTCTGCAAGAACATGCACACCATGTTGTAACATGCAGGTTTAACATCAGAAAAGATCATTGACTCAACCAAAGAGGGTTGTTTCAAGTGGTAAATCAATGTAATGTGCACAAGGAGCTCCTTCACACAAGTTTGAAATAGTGCACTTAGTTCTGTGCAGTAATAATTACAAAGAAAACATGACAATATCAGACTCCACACTTCAGACTAACTTCAACTCACTGCAAGCTTCTTTTCCCTTGGTTGGGTAAAATGCCTGTGGTGAATCCATCAATAGCTACAACGCCTGTGGAGGATCCATCGATTGGCTACAATGCCTGAGGGGATTCCACTGATTGGCTACAATGTCTGTGGTGAATCCATCAGGTGGCTACAATGCCTGTGGGGAGTCCACCGATTGGCTACAATGCCTGTGGTGAATCCATCAGGTGGCTACAATGCCTGTAGAGAATCCACCGACTGGCTACAATGCCTGTGGAGAATCCACCAATTGGCTACAATGCCTTTGGAGAATCAACCGATTGGCTACAATGCCTGTGGGGAATCCATTGGATGGCTACAATGCCTGTGGAGAATCCACCGATTGGCTACAATGCCTGTGGGGAATCCACCAATTGGCTACAATGCCTGTGGGGAATCCACTGATTGCCTACAATGCCTGTGGGGAGTCCACTGATTGGCTACAATGTCTGTGGGGAATCCACCGATTGGCTACAATGCCTGTGGAGAATCAACCGATTGGCTACTGCCTGTGGAGAATCCACTGATTGGCTACAATGCCTGTCGAGAATCAACTGATTGGCTACAATGCCTGTGGGGAATCAACCGATTGGCTACAATGCCTGTCGAGAATCAACCGATTGGCTACAATGCCTGTGGAGAATCCATTGGTTGGCTACAATGCTTGTGGGGAATCCACCGGTAGGCTCTGTGTGTGTGTGTGTGTGTGTGTGTGTGTGTGTGTGTGTGTGTGTGTGTGTGTGTGTGTGTGTTGTGTGTGTTTACTATTTACAATTTATTTCATGAGTGAATGACCTTCAAAGTGACTCTGATATTTGACAAAACCGTGACATGACATGTATTGAGTTAATTATTCAAAGTCAATATGATGCGTTTGGCAATATTCCAGCAACATAAAGGTGGGGGACACAAGAAAAGGCTTCACACATATTTGGAACCATTTTAACATATATATAAATAAATTAAGATGCTACAAGTGAGTAATATAGCTTTATGCCACATCAGCAATTTTACAGCTATAGGGGCCATTAATTAGAATATTCCTTTTAGGCAACCTGATCCAGTAATATGAAACTGGTAGGTAAGACACAATATTTGATGATTGGGGGGGGGGTTATATAGCTTGTATGATATTATTCACTGGGAACTACAATTGTGCAGGATTCCCTGAAACAAAGGCTGTTAGTGTGGTCTGTGGGTTTCTCACCTGAAAGAACTTAAGTGAGTCTTCATGTTCCCTCCGCTGCTGCTCCGCGTACCGCCTCTTGAAGCGCGCCTCCCACACAGCCTGCTGCGACTCCTCCTTGTCCTTCTTCACACGCATGCTGTTGTGCAGCTGCGTCACCCTGCGAGTGTTGTGGGCCTAGAAACACAACATACAGGACATTATTAGACAGTGACACGGCCCACAACATACAGGACATTATTAGACAGTGACACGGCCCATGACATACAAGACATTATTAGACAGTGACACGGCCCATGACATACAGGTCATTATCAGACATGACACGACCTACAACATACATGCATTATTAGACAGTGACACGGCCCATGACATACAGGTCATTATCAGACATGACACGACCTACAACATACATGCATTATTAGACAGTGAAACGGCCCATGACATACAGGTCATTATCAGACATGACACGACCCACAACATACTGGTCAATATCAGACATGACACGGCCCATGACATACAAGACATTATTACACAGTGCATGACACGACTCATGACATACAGGACATTATTAGACAGTGCATGACACGACCCACAACATACAAGACATTATTAGACAGTGCATGACACGACCCACGACATGAACGACTCCTCAACAGACAAAGTGTGCCTTCAGTGAGTGAGTGAGTGAGTGAGTGAGTGAGTGAGTGAGTGAGTGAGTGAGTGAGTGAGTGAGTGAGTGAGTGAGTGAGTGAGTGAGTGAGTGAGTGAGTGAGTGAATGTGGTTTAATGCTGCCGTAAGCATTATTTAAGCTTTGTCACCTCAGACTTAGCAATATCAAATCTTGGCCAGACAGATGAATAAATGTATGAGCACTTGGACATGATGACAATCAGCCAGGTAAAGTATAACCACCCAATCATCAATGGTCAGCTGCTACATCAACGTAGGGGTACTAAGAACCTGTTCGGTTCCCCCACCCCTCCCCTCTGGAACACCAGCATGGTCTAATCTCTCTGCTCCTCGTAAAACTTTCATGTAGCATCATACATCTGTGAAGATCCGGATTAGAACTGGTGTTTAGCAGCCTATACTTGTCGTAAGAGGTAACTAACTATTGGGTGGTCAAGATTTCTGAATTGATGGATGTATGTTTCCCAATGTATCCCAAATGCATGGAGCGATGCTCATGATGTCAATCACTGGATTGCCTGGTCCAGACTTGATTTTTTACAGACAGGCGTCATATAGCTGGAATATTGCTGAGTGAGGCGTTCAACAACAACAAACATACTTCATGTAGCATCCCCCTTACATCCCCCAATGGAGCATAACACTGACAAGCAAAACAAACATCTCCACCCATAATCCCTTACTCTCCACCCATACATGCCATGCCTCACTCCTCCCCTGAAAGGATACCATTTTTCCTATTCCTGATCCTGTTTTAAATTCTGATCTTGATGAACGAAATCATTTCCTTTACTTTTATTTGTTTTACATGTTATTTTCCAGAAGAACCTTACATGTTTTGTTGTGTATTGGTTAATACCACACTCATCATTATTCCATATATATGACAGCAAATTATCGAGTCTGAACCGGATAAACCAGTGATGGATATTGTGAGCAGTGGTCCATGCCGTCGGGGTATGATGACACACAATCAGCCAAGTAGCCTAGACTGATCACCTGTTTCACGGAGTCGCCTCTAATAACCAACACAGATGGCTGGGGACCTATTCTCAGTTCCCCACAAGGAATCAGAGAGTGTGGGTTTCAAATTCCGGATGAGACTAAGCCCAAAACAGTACAAGAATCTGAGCTTTACTAAGAAAGTGTTATCCCAAATATAACATTTCTTATTCTTAACTTTTGGTCATAGGAGACATGGCAATTCACACTTCTCAGAGGGGTACTCAAAGTATGTGATCTAGAGTTGCCAGACTTTCATTTTTGTGGAAGCCTCGGTGGCTAGAGTTGGTTAGATCACTGACTTTGTGTGCTGGTGATTAGGTGCCTCACTCTTAGAGTGTGGGTTCGAATCCTGGATGGGACTCAACCCCCAAAAGTAGTAGAATTTGTACTTTACTAAGAAAGTGTTTTCCCAAATATAACATTTGTTACAGGAATCCTACAAGTAAACATGCCCTACAGGTAGACATGCCCTACAGGTAGACATGCCCTACAGGTAGACATGCCCTACAGGTAAACATGCCCTACAGGTAAACATGCCCTACAGGTAAACATGCCCTACAGGTAAACATGCCCTACAGGTAGACATGCCCTACAGGTAAACATGCCCTACAGGTAAACATGCCCTACAGGTAAACATGCCCTACAGGTAAACATGCCCTACAGGTAAACATGCCCTACAGGTAAACATGCCCTACAGGTAAACATGCCCTACAGGTAGACATGCCCTACAGGTAAACATGCCCTACAGGTAAACATGCCCTACAGGTAAACATGCCCTACAGGTAGACATGCCCTACAGGTAAACATGCCCTACAGGTAAACATGCCCTACAGGTAAACATGCCCTACAGGTAAACATGCCCTACAGGTAAACATGCCCTACAGGTAGACATGCCCTACAGGTAGACATGCCCTACAGGTAAACATGCCCTACAGGTAAACATGCCCTACAGGTAGACATGCCCTACAGGTAGACATGCCCTACAGGTAAACATGCCCTACAGGTAAACATGCCCTACAGGTAAACATGCCCTACAGGTAAACATGCCCTACAGGTAAACATGCCCTACAGGTAAACATGCCCTACAGGTAGACATGCCCTACAGGTAAACATGCCCTACAGGTAAACATGCCCTACAGGTAAACATGCAACATGCCCTACAGGTAAACATGCCCTACAGGTAAACATGCCCTACAGGTAAACATGCCCTACAGGTAAACATGCCCTACAGGTAGACATGCCCTACAGGTAAACATGCCCTACAGGTAAACATGCCCTACAGGTAAACATGCCCTACAGGTAGACATGCCCTACAGGTAAACATGCCCTACAGGTAAACATGCCCTACAATTTGTACACCACACACTGCAGATGCATGTTTCAAATCAAAGGGACTCCAGGCATCAGATGTGCTTCTCATTTGTTTATAATTGTTATTTATAATTTGGCTAACAAATCAAAGTAGTAACAACCCCACATTTGAAAGCAAGTTTATCTCCTGAATGAAAGATATCTGATTTAAGCTATTTAACACCATAAATGTAGTTACATGCTACTGACTTAAAAATACAAATGTTGACATGAATCAATTTAATTTCGAAAGAACGAAAAAATAATAATTTGCTTTTCCTTACAAGTCACACTACTAAGTATAACTATTGTTAGAAATAAACCGTTTGATATTCTTGTGGCAGACAAATTCTATTCTTTTCAACAGTCTGAAGCATAATTTTATTTTTAAATTTCAAGGGACAAGTTATTGCTATCAATAAAATCCCAGTAAATTGCAATTTCGTCTACTATAAGTAACAACACAATCTTTCTTAATTTCGCCCACTCTTGTATAACAACTGTCATGTCCAACAACTCCCTCTTAAGTGGGGGCGGTCGGGTAGCCTAGTGGTTAAAGCGTTCGCTCGTCACGCCGAAGACCCGGGTTCGATTCCTGACATGGGTACAGGTGTCCCCCGCCGTGATATTGCTGGAATATTGCTAAAAGCGGCGTAAAACCAAACTCACTCACTCACTCCCTCTTAAGTGTACACCAACTGTAACCTGGTCACAGCTGTCTTCACATGCATGTATCTAATTATATGCGGCTGTACTTGTATGTGTATACATGCCATGTTTCCCCACCCTGCCATTCCCCCCAAGAAGGGGCAAGAAGTAGCCCCAAACATTGTGTGTGTATAATGAAGAGGATGTTAGCCATGATATTCCTTGTCCTTTCTATATCCAGCTTGTAAACACTCTCTCCAGGTTGTACTGTTCTAATGTGTAGAAGTGCATGACAAAAACATACATGTGATTCAACTGCATCCTAAACAAATATATATTCTGGTAGAATCAGTTAAATAGTAACACAGCGATTACTTCAGCCATAACATCATGTACAAGTCTGTCAGTGTGTGGCCAAACTGTTTCCATACATACTGCAATCAACAAAGAATATCTCAGCATATCGTCAAACATTTTCGTGAAAATATATGATTTCTAAGTGTGCCCATCACATCTGGAACATATTTTAACAGTGCCATTACAAGTTCAACATAGCCTTGCTCCAAGTCTGTACTGAATTGTAAGTCCATGGATGTATATTAATTCTATCCTTATAATAGGCAAGTCTAGATAAGCGGACTTTATATGGATGTCAGTCGTTTATAGGGACAACTTGTTCTTATTATTCATATAATCTAGAAATTATGATTAAAATACAGTAAACTATGGTTATAACGAACACGCTTATAACAAACTGACCGATATAACGAACTTATTTTATAGTCCCGACCATTTGTTGCAAATATGCTGTATATCTGCTTATAACGACCTACGGTTATAACGAACTGAAATTAGTGGTCCCTTTGAGTTCGTTATAACCGTAGTTTACTGTATAAGTATTGACTTCGAGACGTGTGCAAGTTTACATTTTATCTCTGCAGTCCTAATATAAGGAATTTCAAATCGTGAAAGGTACAGTGTTGAATCCTGCTCTACATCTCCCCCAACAATGGGAGCTGAGTGATGTGGGTCTGTACTGTTTCCATCAAGACGAGACACACTTGGAGTAATTAGCAAACAGCTCTGCCATTTCCTGTCCCGTTTCCACGCCCCATTAGCCCGATAAGCCTGCCTGGTACCCTGCCCATGTACACAAGCCAGATAGCTGGGTGACGTGCAACCCATCACAGGGCCAGTAAACCCTGGCGGTACCTCCCCACTGTAAACATGCTGTCACCCACCCCACTAAACCAGGGAGGCTGTCAATCTGCATATCTCCCCACACACACAGGCTACAGATAACTGCTTTTTAATTGCACATTGGGATACTCAGGGCAGAGGGGACAGTTTATTTACTTAAACATTCGGCTTTAATGTCTATTAGATGTGTTTGTACTGTACTCTCCACGGCCTTTCGAGGGTGAGTAGATCATTGTTGCCTACTGTACCCATGCTTGTAGGACTATCAGTAGGGAGTGGACCATTGTTGCCTACTGTACCCATGCTTTAGGCCTATCAGTAGTGAGGGGACCATTGTTGCCTACTGTACTCATGCTTGTAGGCCTATCAGTAGGGAGTGGACCATTGTTGCCTACTGTACCCATGCTTGTAGGCCTATCAATAAGGTGTGGACCATTGCTGCCTGCTGTATTCATGCTTGCAGGCCTATCAATAGGGTGTGGACTATTGCTGCCTACTGTACTCTTGTAGGACTATCAATAGGGTGTGGACCATTGCTGCCTGCTGTATTCATGCTTGTAGGCCTATCAATAGGGAGTGGACCACTGTTGCCTACTGTACTCTTGTAGGCCTATCAATAGGTAGTGGATCATTGCTGCCTACTGTACTCTTGAAGGCCTATCAATTGGGAGTGGACCATTGCTGCCTACTGTACTATTGTAGGCCTATCAATAGGGAGTGAACCATTGTTGCCTACTGTACTCTTGTAGGCCTATCAATAGGGAGTGGATCATTACTGCCTACTGTACTCTTGTGGGCCTATCAATTGGGAGTGGACCATTGCTGCCTACTGTACTCTTGTAGGCCTATCAATAGGGAGTGGACCATTGCTGCCTACTGTACTCATGCTTGTAGGCCTATCAATAGGGAGTGGATCATTACTGCCTACTGTACTCTCGTAGGCCCATCACTAGGGATCGGACCATTGCTGCCTACTGTAATATAAACATCACTCACTAGGTCACAACACTTGCTAAAACACCTACCAACAGTCCTTGAGGTGCTAATATGCAAGAACAGTTGCTTAAACACCTACCAACAGTCTGTGAGGTGCTTATATTCAAGAACACTTGCTAAAACACCTACCAACAGTCCGTGAGGTGCTTATATGCAAGAACACTTGCTTAAACACCTACCAACAGTCCATGAGGTGCTTTTATGCAAGAACACTTGCTAAAACACCTACCAACAGTCCGTGAGGTGCTTATCTGCAAGAACACTTGCAAGGACACCCACCTCCAGTCCCTGATACGTTTACGTGCTAAAGGGCACTTGTTTGAACACCCACCTCCAGTCTCTGATACATCTACGTGCTAAAGGGCACTTGTTTAAACACCCACCTCCAGTCTCTGATACGTTTACGTGCTAAAGGGCACTTGTTAGAACACCCACCTCCAGTCCCTGATACATCTACGTGCTAAAGGGCACTTGTTAGAACACCCACCTCCAGTCTCTGATACATCTACGTGCTAAAGGGCACTTGTTAGAACACCCACCTCCAGTCTCTGATACATTTACGTGCTAAAGGGCACTTGTTTTAACACCCACCTCCAGTCTCTGATACATCTACGTGCCAAAGGGCACTTGTTTAAACACCCACCTCCAGTCTCTGATACGTTTACGTGCTAAAGGGCACTTGTTTGAACACCCACCTCCAGTCCCTGATACATTTACGTGCTAAAGGGCACTTGTTAGAACACCCACCTCCAGTCTCTGATACGTTTACGTGCTAAAGGGCACTTGTTTGAACACACACCTCCAGTCTCTGATACATTTACGTGCTAAAGGGCACTTGTTAGAACACACACCTCCAGTCTCTGATACATTTACGTGCTAAAGGGCACTTGTTAGAACCCCCTCCTCCAGTCTCTGATACGTTTACGTGCTAAAGGGCACTTATTAGAACACACACCTCCAGTCTCTGATACGTTTACGTGCTAAAGGGGACTTGTTAGAACACCCACCTCCAGTCTCTGATACATTTACGTGCTAAAGGGCACTTGTTAGAACCCCCTCCTCCAGTCTCTGATACGTTTACGTGCTAAAGGGCACTTGTTAGAACACACACCTCCAGTCCCTGATACGTTTACGTGCTAAAGGGCACTTGTTAGAACACCCACCTCCAGTCTCTGATACATTTACGTGCTAAAGGGCACTTGTTAGAACCCCCTCCTCCAGTCTCTGATACGTTTACGTGCTAAAGGGCACTTGTTAGAACACACACCTCCAGTCCCTGATACGTTTATGTGCTAAAGGGCACTTGTTAGAACACACACCTCCAGTCCCTGATACATTTACGTGCTAAAGGGCACTTGTTAGAACACCCACCTCCAGTCTCTGATCAATCTGCCGAGCCTTCAGATCCATCTCCGCGTTGACGGCAGCTGTGTTGAGAGATCTCTGCATGGTCGTGTTGTCCTCCAGTCGAATCTGTGTGTCTGTCAGATGTCTTTGTTCTGTGAAGAAACATACTCATAACAGTGAACTGTGGTGTCTATCACAAGACATTTGTACCATTGCCATAATACTGCAAGAGTTATCACTATTGTGCTATTATTTTGATAGTTTGCCAATAGCTCTAATCCTATCCGAAATCCGAACCTCCACACTCACAGCTAATGCTTTCAACAAGACATGAAAATGTCCTTCAACAATCAGAAAAAACATTCTTGAACAATTGAAAAATTAACAATTCTTGTCTAAAGACTGCAAGTCCAGGTATGTACATGGCACTGTGGTCCGATCATGACACACCAACATGGAACTGACCATCTCTCTTCTTGATGTCCAGGTGGCCCTTCGTGAGGGAAAGGTCAGCACTGAGCTTCCTCTTCTGCAGCTCTGCTGTCTTTCCATCCCCATCACTCCTCCTGCACACGACAAACAACTTTAACATCCAAAACTGGCTTCCTCAGGATCTATCACTTGGGTGAGACCAAGGAATATCTCCTAGGAGAAATCACTACAATGAAACTGCATCACAATGCTTTGCAGATCTCTGTGACATCATTACTTAGCATGGCGTCACAATCAAATAACATCACTAATCTTTGTGCCAATGAAGCTGGTGTTTTCAACTCAAGGTACAGGATATTACTGTATTCTGTTTCAAAAATGAACAAAGAGTCATTAGAAGATGACAAATCCCCCCAGCTGCCACAATAGCAAAAGGCACCACTTCAGACGCTGGTTAATACATGCTGGGTGATTGATTGATTGATTGATTGATTGATTGATTGATTGATTGATTGATTGATTGATTGATTGATTGATTGATTGATTGATTGATTGATTTAGACTACCAACATTGCATTAGTGTGAGGAAAGTCTGAAGTGAGGCTGGTCCAAGAGGTAAGTCAAGGGTGTGATGATGACAGACTAAGATTAATAGACAAATGGGGACAAGTTGGAAGTTTGTCGGATTCCTACCCACAATTTGTGGATTCCGGAATTGCTAAGAGCAGCACCTTATACCATTATCAGAGCTATTCTTACCCAGAGCCCCACAGACAGACAAGTATAGGATGCTGGGGACCTCTATTCTTACCCGGAATCCCACAGACAGACAAGTATAGGTTGCTGGGGACCTCTATTCTTACCCAGAGCCCCACAGACAGACAAGTATAGGTTGCAGGGGACCTCTATTCTTACCCAGAACCCCACAGAGAGACAAGTATAGGTTGCTGGGGACCTCTATTCTTACCCAGAACCCCACAGACAGACAAGTATAGGTTGCTGGGGACCTCTATTCTTACCCAGAACCCCACAGACAGACAAGTATAGGTTGCAGGGGACCTCTATTCTTACCTAGAGCCCCACAGACAGACAAGTATAGGATGCTGGGGACCTCTACTCTTACCCAGAGCCCCACAGACAGACAAGTATAGGTTGCTGGGGACCTCTATTCTTACCCAGAGCCCCACAGACAGACAAGTATAGGTTGCAGGGGACCTCTATTCTTACCCAGAACCCCACAGAGAGACAAGTATAGGTTGCTGGGGACCTCTATTCTTACCCAGAACCCCACAGAGAGACAAGTATAGGTTGCAGGGGACCTCTATTCTTACCCAGAGCCCCACAGACAGACAAGTATAGGTTGCTGGGGACCTCTATTCTTACTCAGAGCCCCACAGAGAGACAAGTATAGGTTGCAGGGGACCTCTATTCTTACCCAGAACCCCACAGACAGACAAGTATAGGTTGCAGGGGACCTCTATTCTTACCCAGAACCCCACAGACAGACAAGTATAGGATGCTGGGGACCTCTATTCTTACCCAGAACCCCACAGACAGACAAGTATAGGATGCTGAGGACCTCTATTCTTACCCAGAACCCCACAGACAGACAAGTATAGGTTGCTGGGGACCTCTATTCTTACCCAGAGCCCCACAGACAGACAAGTATAGGTTGCAGGGGACCTCTATTCTTACCCAGAGCCCCACAGACAGACAAGTATAGGATGCTGGGGACCTCTATTCTTACCCGGAATCCCCACAGAGAGACAAGTATAGGTTGCTGGGGACCTCTATTCTTACCCGGAATCCCCACAGAGAGACAAGTATAGGTTGCTGGGGACCTCTATTCTTACCCGGAATCCCCACAGAGAGACAAGTATAGGTTGCAGGGGACCTCTATTCTTACCCGGAATCCCCACAGAGAGACAAGTATAGGTTGCTGGGGACCAGGGCTATCTGTGGTATATAGTATCAACTGCTCATCCCTAGTATGATCCTTAACTCATTAATTCGGACGTAAGATTAGGAAACTCACATAAGTTTTGACTCCAGCGACATGTCAGCATTGTTATTTTCATGTATTCTCTTGGTCATGTCCATCTTCACGTCTCTGTAAAAGGAGATAAATAGGGTCAGGTTACAGACGGCAATGACTCCTGACATCACATTCATCATTCAAGGACTATAAAGTACCAGTCACTTCTGTGAATGTCAATCAGCCACAAAATACAACAAGCAATGACATACCTGGAAGTGTCCACCTTCTGAACCCGCCTCTTCTGAGCCTCCATGTTGAGGGAGATGGCCAGCTCGGCCAGCTCTTGCTTTAACTTGTACTGCTCCACCTGGGCACAGAGAGAGAGAGCGTGAGTGTTTGTTTGTTTGTTTGTTTGTTTGTTTGTTGTTTAACGCCACACTCAGCAATATTCTAGCTATATGATGGCAGTCTGTAAATAATCGAGTCTGGACCAGTGATTGAAAAGATGAGCTAAGATCTAAGCAATTGGGATACCTGATCCCATTAGTCGCCTTTTACGACAAGCATGGGTTGCTGAAGACCTATTCTACCCCGGATCTTTACAGAGTGAGTGAGTGAGTGAGTGAGTGAGTGAGTGAGTGAGTGAGTGAGTGAGTGAGTGAGTAAATGAGAAGTCTTTCTTGCACAAACATATTTTTATATATTGGTAATTGACTTAACAAATCTGTGATGGCATTAAACAATACACAGCCCATTTTTAATATTCAACAAAAACTCAGCAAACAACTACACTTGGGGGTAAAACATATGAAGACAATCCTGACTTAATCTGCTATTGCTTTACCTCTTTCTCCTTCAGCTTAGTTTCAAACTCCTGACTGATGTGTGACAGTTCCACTCTCTTGAGCTCCAGCTCGCTGAGTTTCGTCTGGTACTCCCGGGCGACCACATTCCTAGCAACATCAGCATATCATCAACATCGATAGCACCAACAGCAACATCAGCAACATAAAGGCAACAATATCAATCTGAGTCTATCTCTGATAAACAGAACACTTAAGACATAATGAAGACAGTAATAGCACAGCGCTAAAAGTTTTGGTTGTATAGCGTTTTAATAAGGAGTCAACATTTTGGAAAGCGAAGTCTGGAATGGAAGTTGCCAGTTTGAAACTACTGCTGTGAAACTCCAGAAAGCTGCTTTCTGATTGGCCAATGCAGACTTCATTTTTAACTTACAGTGAACTACAGTTATAACGAACTCAAATGGACAACTAATTGTAATTTGTTATATGCGTAGTTGGTTATAAGCATATATACAGCAAATGGACAAGACCAAGAAATAGTTCGTTATATCCGTCAGTTCGTTATAAGCGTGTTCGTTATAAAGGTAGTTTACTGTATTTCACTGGTCGGTTAAAGTTTGCGAAAGATCATTCTGATGTGACCCGTAATAGGATATCCTCAGATCTTTGCTTAGCGGTAGCAAGAACTAAGAGCTAATTTTAATGAGACTGTTGTTACCATAGGATATAAAGAGCCATATTGAGTGAGTAGCATGATAACGACAAGCTAACTTCCTTAAGTACCAAGATGTCTTCACTCACTGTTTGACAAACACTTTTCTATCCACCTGTTTCGTGCCTTGATCTCGTGATACACTCAAACCTATTCTCCTTTTTGTTCTCTGAAAGATTAAAATTATATATGACAGATACAGACTAATGTCTGACAAATTCTTAGGAACATTTACTGAATGGATAGCCATGTCTGAACAGGAAGCTGTAGTTTGGATCAGAACAAATAAAAACATATGTTTATCAGTCTTTTATCATCATATTAACTCTACTGGTACTACGGATATCCTTGCATATTGTTGTTAACTGTTGATGTTCAAACTTGGACTGACTCTGAGATGGAGGTGGACTGACACAGAGAGGACTGACACAGAGTGGACTGACACAGAGTGGAGGGTGGACTGACACAGAGTGGACTGACAGAGAGAGCAGGGTGGACTGACACAGACAGGACGGACACAGAGAGGACTGACACAGAGTGGACTCACAGAGAGAGGAAGGTGGACTGTCAGAGAGGACTGACAGAAAGTGGAAGGTGGACTGACACAGAGTTGAGGGTGGATTGACACAGACAGGACTGACACAGAGTTCAGGGTGGACTGACACAGAGAGGACTGACGCAGAGAGGAGGGTGGACTGACACAAACAGAACTGACACAGAGTGGACTGACACAGAGTTGAAGGTGGACTGACAGAAAGTGGAAGGTGGACTGACACAGAGTTGAGGGTGGATTGACACAGACAGGACTGACACAGAGTTGAGGGTGGACTGACACAGGACTGACGCAGAGAGGAGGGTGGACTGACACAGACAGGAAGGACACGGAGAGGCGGGTGGATTGACGCAGAGAGGACCGACACAGAGATGAGGGTGGATTGAGACAGACAGGACTGACACAGAGAGGACTGATACAGAATGGATGGAGAGTGGATTGACACAGAGAGGAAGGTGGACTGACACAGAGTGGGCTGACACAGAGTTGAAGGTGTATTGACACAAAGACTAGTGACACAGAGCGGAGGGTGGACTGACACAGAGATGAGGGTGGACTGACACAGAGAGGAGGTGGACTGACACAGAGAGGAGGGTGGACTGACACAGAGAGGAGGGTGGACTGACACAGAGATGAGGGTGGACTGACACAGAGAGGAGGGTGGACTGACACAGAGATGAGGGTGGACTGACACAGAGAGGAGGGTGGACTGACACAGAGATGAGGGTGGACTGACACAGAGGGGAGGTGGACTGACACAGAGAGGAGGTGGACTGACACAGAGAGGAGGTGGACTGACACAGAGAGGAGGGTGGACTGACACAGAGAGGAGGTGGACTGACACAGAGATGAGGGTGGACTGACAGAGGAGGGTGAACTCACCTCTTCCTTCTTGTGGGTATGGTCTTGGGATATCTTGGTCAACTTCTCCAGAGCATGATTTAACTTCTTGTCCTCAGCCAGACGTTTCTTGTTGATTGCTGCAACAGATGGCATCATTGTCCAGTAGCCTGTATTTGTTTCAGTGTCCCCAACAAAGGTCATTTTACTGGAGTGGCTTATCACCTGACCACCCTATGTTCATTGCTTACTTTCAGGACCAGTAAATATGTCAAACCACCCAATATGAAACAAATTGCTGTTGAACTGACTTTGTCTCCTGTTTCAAAGATGTGAAGAAAATTGACGAATCACTTCAAAAGTCCGGAATAATCATTAATATTTTACTTCAGATCAACTGTCAAACACAATTTCTAAACCTGAGAAATTTGTGAAGAAATAGATATCCTGTCACTATACTTGGTACGGAACTGAAGTCTCAAATTCTCCTCTGACATTGATAACATTTCCATTAGACTAATCCGTGGATGTCACCCTTCTAACAACACAGTTCATCACTCATAAGTCATCTGCTTAATTAATTTTTTTTAAATAATTCTATTCTATCCATGTGTGCTAATTATGATATTGCATGAACATACCACCAATTCGGCTCGGGAGCAGTTAGTGACTTGTGGGAAATTGTCTGTGTGTAATGAGGGGAGGGATGGGTATTGGATGTTTAAAGTGTATCACAATATTTTACAATGCACAAGGCCGTATTTGCAATATGTAGCAGGATATATTGTATAATTAAAAAGTTTGAATTCAGAAGCAATTTTAAACATCGATGCAGGAATCCAAGTTCATAAATGGAAAAAATCAAGATGCTGGACTGGACCAGCGTAATGTTAACTCATTCAAAAATAAATATGCAAGGATGCACGCTCCAGGACAGTGATGACTTGGTGTTACAACACTGCCACAGGAGAACTCCAGAATGCGAACTTGCATTTTGGAATTATGGAAACACTTCGAAGGTACATGTATTTGGAAAATGTGAAACATTAAACACATGATATAAATCGCTATTTGAAATCCCCCGATATACCAAACATTGAAACATGATATTGTGATAGGTATCATGGTGAGAATGAACCTCAATTTACCGATATACCGGTAATACTGCGCACCCTGAAATGAGGGTAAAATTCTACAGGAGTGAAGTTGTTTGAACAGCTTTAGTCGAACCTAATGGGACAATGATTGTCCCAAGTTTATCCCCTCCTTACATACAAAACCAATGTGCAATATCCATGCAATAGTGGCAATGATTGTGTCAATGTGATCACCATGGAGACAGAACTGTTTCAAACAAGATTTCTCCAGAAATAAGCAAGGAACAGTTTCAGCCTCAGTTCTTCTCCCCATGAAAGCTGCTGGGAGGCCAGGCAGACTGTCCATCAATGTATTCCTACAATATTTATAAGGGTAAAAGCCACAAAGTCAGGCTTGCCAACAGGTTTATCAGGATCGGTGATATAAAAGTGACAGTGTGTTTGAGGACGGCGACAGCAAGTACAGCAGTAGAATGACACAAGGGGGCAGCACCCTGCTTACCTGCACTCAGGTCAACAAGGTCACATGGGTCATAACAATATTTCCAAAATCTTATCTCCTAACATTTTAATCCCTGTCATCATACAGTGGACTGTCTAAACTGGCATCATGTTGGACCAGTAAAAGAGTTCCAGACTTCTCAGTGTTGTCAAAGGAAAACACATCACACATCACGCCATTAACACTGCTGATGAGAGATTTTGATTGACACAGTTCACAAACAAATTACCTTGTTTTCCTAACAGATTTAACAGACTCACCAAGTTGCCATCTTCCTGAGGCAAGGGAGTTAACTGACTATAAAAGTCCAGTTTCCATACTTGCCGAACTAGGCTGGAATTATGGAGTTATATCTTGGCTGGATTAACGAGTCTATGCATAGTCAAATCAAAATCACCATCCATTTCTTGAGCTGATGGGCAGACTTCAGTCTATTGCAGGATTTGCAAAGTTTGTGTACCAAATACTTAGCGTCAACAGATATATTCCCAATTTATTCATGTTTTTAGTCAAAGTGCTCACATGATTTGATGCACTTGGCGAAGTAAGACACGTTTTATTACAATATAAATCTTGATTATCGACCAGATTGTCTTCACTGGGCGACGCCATTTTATTTGAAGAAAATGCAAGTGATATGAGAACTGGAATCTGATTGGTCAATAGGAGGGACATAGAAGGGACATAACTCACAATAACCACTGGTGGCGCTACAAACGAGCCCAGAAATTCCAAGGGCAGATAATTCCAGGTCTAGTACAAAACTATATTAGAAAATTCACCATGCCAATGTTAACTGCTGTTCACATAGGGCCACGACAGCACTGCACCTGACAATTACCACAAATATATTTACAACAGTTTCTACTGCTACTACAATTACTAACACATCACAATGTACACACACAAATTGTCCACAATGACTTGGAGCGTACAAAAACAATGCATTCATTCACAGAGCTCATGGTACAATTATGCCTACAGATCGAACCATTTCAATGTTTGTACCTAATGGTAATATTATTAAATGAACCACAATTAGATCATGGAAATGTGGCTTTTCCAGGTAATTTCACAATAATAATAACCAGAGTAATAACAAATTATGGAGATTTGAAATGTGCTCTAGCTAAAACACAGATTTATCTGGGCCTACTCAGAGGCTGCCTTTCAGCCCTTAGTCTGCAGCAAATGTCAATAAAAATTCCTAAAATGAAATTGAAAGTTTTCCAATTTATGTTAATATATAAAACAAATAGCTAATTGTATGGCTTTGTCAGAATAGCCTGTGTTTCACTGAAGATAGGATGAATATATAGGTGGAGGTTGTAATACCTTGTTGTTTTCTAATGCATTCAATGCAATCTTAAAAATAAAATGTTAAAATGGCCTAATGGTTTAGTATCCTGGATAAATCCCTGTCATCCGTTAACACCATTATCACCCCAGTCATGGGTCATTTCTACTTGTATATTTTCTAAGCCCCTGGGGTTGAATAGAGAGAATACGGTAATGCTGGTGTGACAATAATATAATAAAACCACTGCATGACAAGACCCTTCTTAAAGTTTTAATGACTCTGCCTTGACAGTAACAGTAAGTTGACCTTATTCATTGAAGTGAGAGAAGTTTTTTACATCACCTTGAAACAAGGTTGGAAACAAATTCTTATTTCTTAAGTCAGCAAAATCTACTACCGAGTTGCCTAATGGTAGAAGTGGTGTTCCACAAAGAAACGTCACCAGTCTTCTGTTCATTTCAATACCTGGTATAGTTTTACAGTTGTATCATGATGTTCCAGCTAATGGGACGCAGAGTGAGTGAGTGAGTGAGTGAGTGAGTGAGTGAGTGAGTGAGTGAGTGAGTGAGTGAGTGAGTGAGTGAGTGAGTGAGTGAGTGAGTGAGTGAGTGAGTATGGTTTTACGCCGCTTTTAGCCTTATTCCAGCGATATCCCGGCAGGGGACACCAGAAATGGGCTTTACACACTGTACCCATGTCGGGAATCGAACCCGGGTCTTCGGCGTGACGAGCGAACGCTTTAACCACTAGGCTACCCGACCGCCCCTAATGAGACGCAGAAAGTGATTCAGATCTAAGACACATCACATACCACTCTGGGAAACCAACAATGATCCTGATCATGGCAAATATGGGATTTGAACCAATTATCTTTGATTCAGGTACGCCACTTTCAGTCAGGTGTGCTTAAAATGTTTATATATAATTGAATTTTAATTACAGTAATGAACACTATTCAAATTAAATTGCTACTTCACTTACAATTAGCTTGATGACGAAAAGTCAATTATTTTAAGGTAGTTCCAGTCTGCTGGCTAGCAATGAGCATTTCTCCAGGCGGGGGGGGCCTCCTGCAGAGAGGGGAGTATGTGTTCTCAAGGCTGAGGGACTCCTGCAGAGAGGGGAGTATGTGTTCTCAAGGCTGAGGGCAGCTGCTCATCACAGATGACATGGGAAGTCTCCACACCTGTCACCGACATACTTCACAGGCTCTCACATAGATGCAAATTGTCACCAACATCTCGAAAGTATGCATTAATTGACACTGACCTAGGACCTGTGCCATTAATATCATGTTAATGTGGACTTAAGTATGAGTTTATATTTTTCACATTCACACATAAAATTCATTAAGCAAATAGTTTGCGGTCTGAAACGCTTCCTCCCACTGTCTGGGTGTGGGGTGGGGTGAACACATGTGTAGACATGCTGTGATGAAGGAGGGGACCTAGCTAGTGGTACAGTGACACGTTGTGAGGCAACCATTAAGTAATAGAAGAACCCAAGTAAATCAATGTCTTCTCTCCTCCACTTGAGGAGAGGGGGGGTTGTTTATGTTGACAAACATCACAAGGGTTAAATTGCAGGTGTTTGTATTTTTCATGCACCTGAGAATTTGTTGCAATCCTCCCATGAATAGCAATCAGAAGCTCATGACTGGCGTGGAGCTGAGGCGCCATGGGATATAGAGGAGTTATGTAAGGAAGCCCCGAGGGGGGGGGGGGGGGGTCACTCTTGGGGGCAGGAAATGGGGCCAGTGTGTGAGGGACAGAAAATGGGGCACTGTGTGGCGGACACAACACAGGGCACTGTGTGGCGGAATGAATATTGGGCACTGTGTGGGGGACAGAACAAGGGGCACATCAAGGTGAACAGAACAAGGGCCACTGTGTAGGGGACAGAACGTGGGGGACAGAACATGGGGCACTGTGTAGGGGACAGAACCTGGGGGACAGAACAAGGGCCACTGTGTAGGGGACAGAACGTGGGGGACAGAACATGGGGCACTGTGTGGGGGGGCACTGTGTGAGAGACAGAAAACGGGGCACTGTGTGGTGGACAGAAGATGGAGCACTTCATGAGGGCAGAACATGGGGCGCTGTGTGGGGGACAGAACATGGGGCGCTGTGTGGGGTACAGAACATGGGGCAATTCAAGGGGACAGAACAAGTGGCACTGTGCTGGGACAGAACATGGGGCACTGTGTGGGGACAGGACATGGGGCATTGTGTGGGGACAGGACATGGGGCACTGTGTGGGGGACAGAACAAGGGGCACTGTGTGGGGGACAGAACAAGGGGCACTGTGTGGGGGACAGAACAAGGGGCACTGTGTGGGGGACAGAACATGGGGCACTGTGTGGGGGACAGAAAATGGGGCACTGTGTGGGGACAGGACATAGGGCACTGGGTGGGGACAGGACATGGGGCACTGTGTGGGGGACAGAACAAGGGGCACTGTGTGGGGGACAGAACATGGGGCACTGTGTGGGGACAGAACATGGGGCATTGTGTGGGGGACAGAACAAGGGGCACTGTGTGGGGGACAGAACATGGGGCACTGTGTGGGGACAGGACATGGGGCACTGTGTGGGGGACAGAACATGGGGCACTGTGTGGGGACAGGACATGGGGCACTGTGTGGGGGACAGAACACGGGGCATTGTGTGGGGGACAAAACACGGGGCACTTCAAGGGGGACAGAACATGGGGCAGTGTGTGGGGAGCAGAACAAGGGGCACTGTGTGGGGGACGGAACAAGGGGCACTGTGTGGGGACAGGACATGGGGCACTGTGAGGGGACAGGACATGGGGCACTGTGTGGGGGACAGAACATGGGGCACTGTGTGGGGACAGGACATGGGGCACTGTGTGGGGGACAGAAGAAGGGGCACTGTGTGGGGGACAGAACAAGGGGCACTGTGTGGGAGACAGAACATGGGGCACTGTGTGGGGGACAGAACATGGGGCACTGTGTGGGGACAGGACATGGGGCACTGTGTGGGGGACAGGACATGGGGCACTGTGTGGGGACAGGACATTGGGCACTGTGTGGGGACAGAACATGGGGCATTGTGTGGGGGACAGAACAAGGGGCACTGTGTGGGGGACAGAACATGGGGCACCGTGTGGGGACAGGACATGGGGCACTGTGTGGGGGACAGAACATGGGGCACTGTGTGGGGACAGGACATGGGGCACTGTGTGGGGGACAGAACATGGGGCATTGTGTGGGGGACAGAACACGGGGCACTTCAAGGGGGACAGAACATGGGGCAGTGTGTGGGGGACAGAACATGGGGCAGTGTGTGGGGGACAGGACATGGGGCACTGTGTGGGGGACAGGACATGGGGCAGTGTGTGGGGGACAGAACATGGGGCAGTGTGTGGGGGACAGAACATGGGGCACTGTGTGGGGGACAGAACATGGGGCAGTGCATGGGGGACAGAACATGGGGCACTGTGTTGGGGACAGAACATGGGGCACTTCAAGGGGGACAGAACATGGGCACTTCAAGGGGGACAGAACATGGGGCACTTCAAGGGGGACAGCACATGGGGCAGTGTGTGAAGCATGAATCAAGCATTAGAGCGGGGTAGCCCATGAAAAGGGGCAAAGGGCACTTGGAATTCCACACGCAGCAAGCTGCTATGAAATAAGACTTCTTTCTCAATAACCATCACATGACCATGAACTTTCCACAAAGCGATATTTTATGAGAGCTTCACATCAATCGTTTCATCTAACTCCATCAACTTTATAATTTATTTGCCAATCTGCTCTTTTGTTTGAAAGAAAACCTTTAAAAGATAAACTACAACAAGAAACTGTTATGGTTTAACACCGAGTTATCAAACACATAGCATTGCCTCTAGCCACTGCAAACACCTACTAGGAAACCTCTTCTGAAACTTTACTGTATTTGGAACAGTTTCAGCAATCATTTCCTTGTTAGATTGACTGACCAACATAATCAAATCATGATTATGTCAAAATAAAGAGTTTAATTCAAATACACAATTTTAGTCTTATTTCAACCCACATAAGCTAAAATTCAGCGATTATATCTGAACAAGTGTAACTCCTATATATCTTCTAAACAAGAACCCTATTTGATAAAAGAATATGTATATTTTCTCAACAACTACAATAACAATGAGACACCCTTGTCAACAATAAGCACTACAATGGATTCTTAAGATTCTCCTTTCAGTATCATTTGTATTTCCTAATGACTAATCCAGAAGGAAGGGATATTCTGACAGAGTAGCGCGCTCCTGTTCCGGGGCAACACAAACAACCCAAATGAGGTGGACTGATGTTCAGCTCACTTGTGTCACCTTACAGGTGTCCAGTAATGACTACATGACAACACTAATGACCCTCGTTAATCACCAGCTGCACACGTCTACACCAGCCGCAGCAATGGAGCGCTTGCCGCCTCTGTAGCTGTGTCAGGTGTATAATCACCAGCTACTGTATCCCGGGGATCTGATGACAACTCCACATGTCTTGTAATAACCACCTTGAGAGGCTTCAGTGTTTTGTTACATAGTTGCCTGGGGTTACGGCCATTTTGGATATGCGGGAATATGGAGTGTGTTACGGAGTGAACTGACTGAGTGAATGAATGTGGATTGACTCCACAAGCGGAAAATATGACAGCTTTATCACAGCCGTCTGTAAATAATCAAGAGTATGGGCCAGGCAATCAAGAATTTAATAGCATGAGCAAATTCCACATCGTAAGAATACAATGACAAACAATCACTTTGTCCACAAGGACCAGCTTGTACCAGTGTGACTTGGTGGACCAGCTTGTACCAGTGTGACTTAGTGGACCGGCTTGTACCGGTGTGACTTAGTGGACCGGCTTGTACTGGTGTGACTTAGTGGACCGGCTTGTACCGGTGTGACTTAGTGGACCGGCTTGTACCGGTGTGACTTAGTGGACCAGCTTGTACTGGTGTGACTTGGTGGACCAGCTTGTAGCAGTGTGACTTGGTGGACCGGCTTGTACCGGTGTTACTTAGTGGACCAGCTTGTACTGGTGTGACTTGGTGGACCGGCTTGTACCGGTGTGTCTTGGTGGACCAGCTTGTACCAGTGTCACTTAGTGGAGCAACTTGTACCAGTGTGACTTGGTACAAGCCGGCTTGTACCAGTGTGACTTAGTGGACCGGCTTGTACTGGTGTGACTTAGTGGACCCGCTTGTACTGGTGTGACTTAGTGGACCGGCTTGTACTGGTGTGACTTGGTGGACCGGCTTGTACCAGAGTGACTTGGTGGACCGGCTTGTACCAGTGTGACTTGGTGGACCAGCTTGTACCGGTGTGACTTGGTGGACCGGCTTGTACCGGTGTGACTTAGTGGACCGGCTTGTACCGGTGTGACTTGGTGGACCAGCTTGTACCAGTGTGACTTAGTGGACCGGCTTGTACTGGTGTGACTTAGTGGACCGGCTTGTACCGGTGTGTCTTGGTGGACCAGCTTGTACCAGTGTCACTTAGTGGAGCGACTTGTACCAGTGTGACTTAGTGGACCGGCTTGTACTGGTGTGACTTAGTGGACCCGCTTGTACTGGTGTTACTTAGTGGACCAGCTTGTACTGGTGTGACTTGGTGGACCGGCTTGTACCGGTGTGTCTTGGTGGACCAGCTTGTACCAGTGTCACTTAGTGGAGCAACTTGTACCAGTGTGACTTGGTACAAGCCGGCTTGTACCAGTGTGACTTAGTGGACCGGCTTGTACCAGTGTGACTTAGTGGACCCGCTTGTACTGGTGTGACTTAGTGGACCGGCTTGTACTGGTGTGACTTGGTGGACCGGCTTGTACCAGTGTGACTTGGTGGACCGGCTTGTACCAGTGTGACTTGGTGGACCAGCTTGTACCGGTGTGACTTGGTGGACCGGCTTGTACCGGTGTGACTTAGTGGACCGGCTTGTACCGGTGTGACTTGGTGGACCAGCTTGTACCAGTGTGACTTAGTGGACCGGCTTGTACTGGTGTGACTTAGTGGACCGGCTTGTACCGGTGTGTCTTGGTGGACCAGCTTGTACCAGTGTCACTTAGTGGAGCGACTTGTACCAGTGTGACTTGGTACAAGCCGGCTTGTACCAGTGTGACTTAGTGGACCGGCTTGTACTGGTGTGACTTAGTGGACCCGCTTGTACTGGTGTGACTTAGTGGACCGGCTTGTACTGGTGTGACTTGGTGGACCGGCTTGTACCAGTGTGACTTGGTGGACCAGCTTGTACCGGTGTGACTTGGTGGACCAGCTTGTACCGGTGTGACTTGGTGGACCGGCTTGTACCGGTGTGACCTAGTGGACCGGCTTGTACCAGTGTGACTTGGTGGACCTGCTTGTACCGGTGTGACTTGGTGGACCAGCTTGTACCAGTGTGACTTGGTGGACCAGCTTGTACCAGTGTGACTTGGTGGACCAGCTTGTACCGGTGTGACTTGGTGGACCAGCTTGTACTGGTGTGACTTAGTGGACCAGCTTGTACCGGTGTGACTTAGTGGACCAGCTTGTACCAGTGTGACTTAGTGGACCGGCTTGTACCAGTGTGACTTAGTGGACTGGCTTCTACTGGTGTGACTTAGTGGACCGGCTTGTACCCGCGTGACTTAGTGAACTAAAGGATTGGCTTGTACCGGTGTGACTCAGGTGCTTGGCATGCAGAGCAGATGTTTAACCATCAGCATAACAAGTGTTCAAAATTAAGCATGAAAGTCCTCATCATACCCCTAATGTCAAGCATCTTATATTTAGTGTCCCTAGATTCAAATAGATAGCAGCATATCATAAGAGTCCAAGGACTACCAAAAATGCTTTGAATTTCACCAAATTACCGTTTGTTGAAAAACTAAGAAAGTTTTGTCGATACTAACCATTTTCAAAGTCCCTGAGTGTGTGCCTGACGGATCGCTGGTTCTTGATGATGTCCCCCTCCACCCTCTTCAGCTCCCGCTCCTCCTGCTTGTGCTGCCACATGTGGTCCTGTAGGTACACCAGTGTAGGAATTAGTTCGGGATTATGTTTGTTTGTTTGTTGCTAAACGCCGCACTCAGCAGTAATCCAGCTACATGATGGCGGTCTGTAAATGATCGAGTCTGGACCAAACAATCCAGTGACTGAATCATGAACATCGATCCACGCAATTGGGATACGATGACATGCATCAATCAAGTCAGCAAGCCTGACTAACCAAACCCATTAGTCCATTCTTACGATAAGTGTAGTTGCTTTTTACAGCAAGCATGGGTTGCTGGAGACCTATTCTGACCGGATTTTCACAGGTGTCACTGGCCAGGAGGGCTTGTTAACAAAACACATTGCAAGCCCTCATCACATTTTAGTAACCCTACTTTATGGCGGCCACCATTTGCAAAACGTATTGAAACAGTCTTGAGATTGTTACGCTAAACAATGGCAAGCTTATTGGCTGCTAGGTACATTTGTTTGACAATTGTGATGGTTCTTAGACTTTCACACACATAGCTAATAATGCATGTACGAAATGAAAACAAACTTATGCTTCAATTGAGTGTATATTTCGTAGAAAATTCTACAAATAAATATGAACTGAGTAGAATTTTCAACTAGACAGTTGGGCCAGCCTTATGGAAATGTTACTGGCCCAATTCAAACATCTGGCATTTGGTTAGCTGGCAGGCAGCTATTTCAAACACACGAGGAGGAAGTGAGATGAGTAACAATGGTGGACAAGAATATGGGAAGAAGACTAGTTCATGGCTTACTGCATCACCAGACATCATCAATCCCAACTCTTTCTTCAACACCAGACCTAACAAGAAGTCCCAAACAGCAGTCATAACATCATCAGTTGTATCGTACCTGAAGTCAGGCATGTTGGACTCACCTCGATCACTCTGATTCTTTTATCATAATCCTTCTTGTCTCGCTCTACCCTGGCGGTGAGATTGACCACACTCGGCCGTTGGGCGTTGGACTGGGCACGCTTCCTGTTGGGGTCATTCCGCAGTACGTAAGGGTGACCGTACCGGCTGGAGTCCACGAAGCCATCCGGACCCACTTTCCTCTCCTGCTCTCTGGACGACATAGAGAGATACTCTGACAGGGAGATCATATAGGATCATCATATTTTACATAAGCTAGAGTGTGTGAGTGAGTGAGTTTATGCCAATTTTAGAACTTTGTTTGTTTGTTGTTTAAGGCTGCACTCAGCAATATTCCAGCTATATGACAGCCATCTGTAAATAATCAAGTCTGGACCAGACAATACAGTGATGGACAACATGAGCATCAGTCCTTGCAATTGGGATCGATGACATGCATCAACCAAGTCAACAAGCCTGACCACCCGATCCCCTTATTTGCCTCTTACAACAAGCATGGGTTGCTGAAGACCTATTCTACCCCAGATCTTCACGGGCCAATTTTAGAACTATTTCAGCAGTGACTCAATGGAGGTACCCCAAAAATATGGGTTTCACACATTGTATCCATGTTGGGAATCAAACCCAGGTCTTCAGTATTCGTGAGCCAGTGCTTCAACCATTAGCCTACACTACTGCACAATATAATACACTTTAAAACAATAGGCTGTCATCTCATCATATTCATCTCATCAGAGATGCGACAATACAATACATAGAGTAGCCTTTTTAACTTAATCCAGTACCTTGATATATCATTACAAGTGTGAGAAGACCATACATAGTGTGACATTTACTTTCAACTTCAACGCCTTGATATATGGAGGAAGACAATGTGGTTTGGTTTTGGTTTGGTTTGTTGTTTTACGCCGCACTCAGCAATATTCCATTTATATCACGGCTGTCTGTAAATAATCGAGTCTGGACCAGACAATCCAGTGATCTACATCATGAACATCGATCCACGCAATTGGGATCAATGACATGCATCAACCAAGTCAGCGAGTCTGATCACCTGATCCCTTTAGTCGCCTTTTACGACAAGCATAGTCACCTTTAATGTGACTTTATTGCCCTGGCATGCTTGTTTGTTGTTTAACATCACACTCAGCAATATTCCCTCACACTCAGCAATATTCCTTCACACTCAGCAATATTCCTTCACACTCAGCAATATTCCTTCACACTCAGCAATATTCCTTCACACTCAGCAATATTCCAGCTATATTATTGTGGCCTGAAACCAAACAAACCAATGATTGATATTACTGTGTGTATATGACAACTTGCCATCAACCAAGTTACCAAGTCTCGCTACCCAATCCTGGTACTCACCTCTTACGACCAGCAGAGGTTGCTATAGGGGTCTAATCTAACCCGGATTCCCTATGTACTACAGTTTAATACCATGGGTAACATGAATTCAACAGTCCTCAGTATAAGTAATCTTAATTTCTCTTTTCCAAAAAGCAACTTTATTCCACAACACTACCTGTACATACAATACATCTTATCCAAATTGGAGAGTTTAAACTAAATGCTTCGGTAGAAGCACTAGTGGAAGAGGCAATTGTAATGCCCAGAGATATTTCTACGATAGATAGATCCAATGAACACAAACATTGACTACTGAACTAAATCTGTTGTGGATGTGTCGAATCTATAGCTATGTCCATGCAAGGTTGCTTTGTGTGATTTACTAACAACTACCAACGTTAATCTCTAGACACAAGTCATGATCACCAGTAGACAACACTACACGTCCGCTGGTCCGAGAGACCATGAAGGTCTAAACCTGCTATATACAACAAGACTGAATATGAACCAAGATTAAACAAGCTCAGGGTTTGAAACTCTTTGTATTAGAGTGCCAATGTCACGGCTAATATCGTAAAGACACAGTAAAAACAAGTTCCTTGTACTTTATTTTTAACAATACCTTGCGATGATGTATAGTGATGGAAGCCTGTGATTAATGCTTAGCAAAAGTAATCAGTGCAAACATTTGAAAATATAAACAAAATGAAGATATAAACTTAATGCTCACTGCACAGTATATTTCCTAAAATAAACCTGGGGATTCAAGAATTTCAATTTCACCGAGAAGAAATGAGGCCGACTTCAAGGTTACATCTTACTATAGCTAAAATGGATAGAATTATCATTAAACCGCCCACATGTTATCAAAAATGAGCGGGCCACTGTAACTTGATAATGCCCACATATTGCTTGATGACGGGCCATTTTCACGCCCGTTGTTAGGTGACGTCATAGGATAGGGATAGGTGATGTCACGTTCAATAGTGGCGTCATCTGGTTTGTTCTATGACTTTTCCATATTTGTAAAAGAGGCTCAGTGACATCAGAGACCATATAATCTATTATATGGTCTCTGGTGACATTCATGTTGATTGCAGTAAATGTTTCAAAATCGATATTGTTTCTTTTTATTTGATAACAAATTCCATCCATTTTAGCTATAATAATGGTAACGCTATTTTTCAGGGCATTATCATTTGCAGAAGCCCTCAGTCTTCTCATGGAATGGAAGACCTCAGACTTCTGTAAATGATAATGCCCTGAAAAATAGCGTTACCCTTATATTATCTAGTTCGTGTTCATGTTCGTCGAATTACAACACTAATTCCAAAGGGCATGCCTACACTCTTCTGTGAATGTCCTACCCCTGTAGTCACAAACCTAAGGGACCACAGCACGCTTCCTTACTTCTATCAGTTTAAAGTTGTACCCTGACTATATTACCCCAGCACGATTCGTAATTTCTATCAGTGTTCATAATTTCTACCCTTATTATATTCATGCGAACACTACCCAGACTGACCAACTGGACGATAGATCAACATGCATACAACAATCGAGCTGAGAAAGTACATGTCCATGTGTCAGAATGTTGTGGTTCCTGCAAGTGACTTACTTCATCTTGTCTGTGCTGATTATATAAAGTTCATGGTTTTTATTTTTATTGCTTTTTAAAACACAGAGATTTGTTAGATGGGTTTACCGAAAATATCCGATTGAAATCTATTTCTTGAGAACCACAACATATTATTTAAGTCTACATTTGTGTTTGAAAAGTTGCTGTACCCAAAATATCCAGGGATTCCACTGAAAACACAGATGCATATATCACACAACTTGACAATCACAAAATGAGCATATGGCATCTCTCCTACCACAATATTTAAATTAAAATTATTAACTGACTCTAACAACAGTCTTGTCCTTGCAAGTAAAGGGTTATCTCCCTTGCACTGAGTGGTGACCAAATGAACAGCTAGTTATCTAGTCAATAAGACTAATAGAGCAATTAGGATAGATTAACATCTAGTCTCTTAAATAAACATATTTTAGAGAAAAAAACAGTTGTGATATTGTAGTTATAAAATATAATAAAAAGGAGCCTAGAGACGATCTTCATTTTACAGTTATCTAGACTTGCCAAGCATTACAGACTTGCATGGGCTGTTTTGAATATATTTGTTTCAGGGTCTGTATGACTACTACCAGTACAATTAGGATTAAAAAGACACATAGCATCTTAAAAAGAAATTCATTACTAAGAAATCCCTTCAAAAGAAAATAAATAAAATATTTGGAAAAAGAAATTTCATACTTGAGAAACGCAGCATATCTCTTGTTCTCAGTGGCAGTGTTCCCCTCATCTACGTTGCAGGGCGGGGCGCTGTCTGGTCGCCGGAGGAGGCTGTAGCGACTGTAGATGACAGGACTGCGCTCAAATGGGAGGTCGGTGAGAACCATGTTGACAGGCTATCTTCACTCCACGTATCTGAAATGTAATGTCAGGATGTTCTGTACACATGCAATACCCTCCACCATGTTGACAGGCTATCTTCACTCCACGTATCTGAAATGTAATGTCAGGATGTTCTGTACACATGCAATACCCTCCACCATGTTGACAGGCTATCTTCACTCCACGTATCTGAAATGTAATGTCAGGATGTTCTGTACACATGCAATACCCTCCACCATGTTGACAGGCTATCTTCACTCCACGTATCTGAAATGTAATGTCAGGATGTTCTGTACACATGCAATACCCTCCACCATGTTGACAGGCTATCTTCACTCCACGTATCTGAAATGTATTGTCAGGATGTTCTGTACACATGCAATACCCTCCACCATGTTGACAGGCTATCTTCACTCCACGTATCTGAAATGTAATGTCAGGATGTTCTGTACACATGCAATACCCTCCACCATGTTGACAGGCTATCTTCACTCCACGTATCTGAAACGTAATGTCAGGATGTTCTGTACACATGCAATATGCTCCACCATGTTGTATTTCAGTCCTCAGAGGTTGAATTTTCATTCTAGCAACCAAAAGGTAGAAAGGAAAGCCAATGCGGAAACAGACTTTTCTAAACACATGATCTGTCCAAGACGATACAAGCATCATTGGCTTGATTTGCTACACAAAATCATCGACATTCAGAATGATGAATGGAAGTCTGTTACTTTATTGTGCTACAACAAAGTCATGCTTGAATCTCCATAAGACGGTCCCAGATGACTTCTGCAGTAAAATTAGTAACATTGTGCAGTTTAATTATTAACATTCCGCAGCTAGAATTAAAAAATTCTGCAGTAAATTCTGTGGCAAATACGTAACCATCTCCCTCCAAAAAATTGTACATATTCAGTTTTTGACAACTCAAATCCAAATCCAAAAAGGACCCGTGAAGATCCAGGGTAGAATTGGTCTTCAGAAACCCATGCTTGCCGTAAAAGGAAACATGTGAACTAAAATGGTTTCAGTCAATCTGTGGTTGATGTGATTATTAGGAATGTTTAGCTCTGATTATTTATATGAATGTTGATAACTAGGTGAAGAATGTTGATGACGTTTTATTCAGATTACGACCCATGAAGATTCAGGATGAGAATAGGTCTTCAGCAGCTAGTGCTTGCCATAAGAGGAGACTATGTCTGTCGTAAGAGGCTACAAACGGCATCGGATGGTCAGCCTCGCAGACTTGGTTGATTCATGTCATATCCCAATTGCGTGGATCTATGCTTATGATATTAATCACTGGATTGTCTGGTCCAGATTTGATTATTTACACACCGCCATCATATAGCTGGAATATTGCTGAGCGTGGCGTTAAACAACAAACAAACAAAACAAACAAATCCAAAACAAAGCAATTCCATAAACTGTTGATATTAACAGTTATCATAGGATAAACATAAAATTATGCAAATAAATATGCCGAGTGTTTATGTTTGGAGAAAATTATTTATTTCAAATTGCGTTTTATTGCAGGATTCATATTTGGTATGTTTGACTCACATGTTTGGGCATCAATCGAGTGCAAAATTTAAAAGAAAAGCTTGAAAATAATGGAAATAAGTGTTTTGATTGATTTAAAAAAAAAAAAGACAAGATGTTTCTGATATTCTGCGGGGAGTTACATTTTTTGCAAATCTTTCCGTGATCACAGTATAAAATGTCAACAAAGACAGACACCCATGATCAAAACAAGATCAAAATAAAAAAATTCGCTAAATCTTGATTATATATATTGGCTACACAGCAAACGTCAGTGAAATTTCCCAAGATGGGTGGGGTGAGGTGAGATGGGTATAAACATCTCGTTCAAAATTATTGCACTTACTTAGCGACATGCATGCACATGTGAGTGGCTGCTTCTACCATGTTGTCTACGTGAACGTGAATACCCCACGGATACGCAGTATACTGACTCCGAGCCAACCAGTCCTTGTTTTAGCACCTAAATGCCGAGCGCCAGGCAGGGTAACAACAAGTAGCATCTTTTGATGTCTTTTGGTATGAAGTGGCCGGGGATCGAACCCCGATCTTCTGCTCTCCAGGCAGACACTAGACCACGGTCTCCAAAGTTGGAATTAAAACTGTGTTATGGTAATATTGTTACAGTCATATCTAATATTATGACTTTGTACAGGTGGACTGCATTTCACTCACAACAGGATCAATAAAGAGGAAGAAACTATATGCAAGGTTTACATCATTGCCTTGAATATAACATTAAAATACAGTTTTAATATACCTCTGAAATTAAGAAAATAAGAACTTTAAATAATGCCAATTTTGAACAAACAAACAATGTTTTCCTTGTTTGTCTTCCAAGGGCACCTGCTGGAATCTATGATACAACCCTGAACTCTCTGCAGCATCAAGGAGTAGGACTAGCCATTCGTTAGATGCAAACAAAGGCAAACTCAGTGTCAGATAAATTGTATATAATCTTATGTTTATGGCAGTCAACATCAGCTAAGCATTATGAGTTTTAGCTTTTCCCAGAGCCTGAACAAAAATGCTACACCAATTATGGTGGCTTCAGCTGTTTCAGCAAGCTTTTGTTTCTGATATCATGAATATATTCCTGCATCAAAGCCAATTATGTATTCCTACACAGTGTAGGTAGAGATATTATGTATGTCAAACTGGTTGTGACAGCAACATGATCCACCTTTACCATTGGGCAGTTTGGTAAGGACTAATAGGACTAGTGCCAATTTCTAACGCTGCACATGTTACAGATAGTCGCCTCTTAAAACAAGCATAGTCGCCTCTTCGGCATGAACGGGTTGCTGAAGACCTATTCTCATCCCAAACCTTCATGGGTCGTAATCTGAATAAGACGTCATCAACACTCACCTAGTTATCAACATTCATGTAAATAATAAGAGCTAATCATTCATAATAATCAACACAAATTGACTGAAACCATTTTAATTCACATCATCCATGAATGAGTGGTTTTACGCCACACTTAGAAATATCATAGTTGAGGACGTCAGAAATCTAGCACATGTGGGAAATCGAACCCAGACCCTCAGCATGACAAGCAAACAGTTTAACCAATAGGCTACCCCACCATCCCCCGTTATCATCAACCACAGCTGAAGTAGCTGTGATTTTACATCTACTCGTATTCAAACAACTAAGGACAGAGCCCAGTTTCCTGAGGTTAAAAGAAAATTTTAGCTTGGCATGACAGATTAAATATCAATCTCATTAAAATCAGACCTCAGTTCTCGCTACCGCTAAACAAACATCTGAAGACATCCCATAAGGGGTCACGTCAGAACGACCTTTCATCCGACCAATCAGAGCATCGCTTACCAGATTATGAAAGTGACAGTCGGAATGTGATTTCTGATCATGCAGCCTCGAAAACTTTAACTCTGAATGATAGTTACGGGTTTAACGACTGTATCCATACAATCTAGACCATCTATTAGCCATTCCAGAATGTTCTTTTGTTCAGGTTTCAAATTTGTAATCGAGAATTTGTCAAAATATGTTTCGAAGCAGAGTCGTCAATTTGAATAAAGTGCCGTAAAGCATGAGAAAGTTGCCTTCTGATTGGTCATTCCATTGGTCGGTCAAAGTACGCGCAAGGTCGGTCTGACGTGACCCGTAACGGGATGTCCTCAGATCTTTGTTTAGCGGTAGCGAGAACTAATATCTGATTTTAATGAGATTGGATTAAATTTGCACCTGAAACATCACTCTTTTCTAATGACAAAAATATATTCTTACTTCTGCTGCTGGTTATTTATTTATTTACACAGAATTAGAAATGTTAGAAAGTCCTTCATCCCATTAGCATGATAGAGAGGTAGACATGTAGGGGCGACTATTGGTCTGGAAATCACTATTGCGATAACTATTGATATTGCAAGCAACTATTGCGATAAATATCGATAGTTTTCAGTGTATCATTTTAGATGGATTTTAGAGTTGAATTAAACCTTGGAACTGAATTTTCCTTTAAATGTGATAACCATAACAACAAATATAAAGTAAAGTTTGAGATATGACTGATTTGTTTTTTCTTTACCCTAATAATTTAAGAAAAAGAAACTGCCAAATTACCATGTGTAAATTACTACCACTCATGATCAAAAGAAAAACAAATTTGAACAGTATTGCATGTATTTTATTGATATGGTAAATACAATCAAAACTATCAATATTCGTAACTGAAATCGATATTATTGATCGGAAACTGATTTAACAATTGATTTATTGACTTTAAGTGGTTACCAATAGCAATATATCGACATTTCAATTTATCATGACACCCCTATAGACATGTCTCTGTAACAAGGACCCCTCAGGGGAGACTAAGGCCACTTTTGATAACACTTTCCCTCTATTCTGTAAGATTTAATAATTCTTAAATTACACGACCTTCATATTTTTTGTCAAGGATTTAGTACAATGAATACTACTGTGCTTCCAATGGGACCCAACATTTGTCGATACATTTGTAATGGACGCACATTTTTGCATCATGTTAAATGCTGTGATAATATTGTATTCCTATATCTAATTTATCTAGCATTACACAAAACACAATTTGCTAAAACAGTGAACAGTGGGGTTAACATTTCTGATGACATTTTAAGAGATGTAGTGGTTTTCAAGCTATAGCAAGGACTCACAGCTTTCCGAAACACGTTCCTATAAAAAAAACTGATACACAGGTCTTAGTCTCGTCATAGTAACACTCATACACATTGCAGGGGTTATTAGCGTACTCAAACTCACAATTGTAGCATCGTTACAGTCTGCATAGAATATGAACAAATCCTGGAATATCAACAGGCAGATCAAAATGTTTGCGACTGTTAGCACATGAATAAAAAAACATGACCAATGATTTCATATCAAAGGGTGATAACTCATGTACTGTTTTGCATGATATATAGTAAATGAAATTTGAGCAAACAGGTTCCACTGCCTTCATGTTTATTTTGCCCTTA